ACCAAGTGCTGTACCAATAGTAGAAGCTCCATGATTCTCAATCGAATTTAAGCTTTATAATATGTAAATCATGTTTAATTTAATATTTGAGATATTTTATAAATTAAAAGTATTATTTAATTCAGTTTGAATAAAATGCTTTGACTTTATTTTAAAAAAAAGTTTTTAATGAAATAAATTTACCTTATGTCAAATTCTAAATGTGTAAGTTGAGTGCACTTACTCAAACCTAATCCAATATTTTATGCTCCTTTATCACCGATTTTATTGTACCTTTTAAAACAATATAAATTAATTTATTAACTATTTAAATTTATTTTGAAATTTATATCAAAATATTCAAAATAATTCTAACTTTTTAAGTTATCAATAAATAAATATAAAATAATTTTACCAACTGCTAAATGAGAGATTAGTAAGGAATTTGCAGTTACCAAGTGCTGTACCAATAGTAGAAGCTCCATCATCCCCAATTTAATTTAAGCTTTATAATATGTAAATCACGTTTAATTTAATATTTAAGATATTTTATAAATTAAAAGTATTTTTTAATTCAGTTTGAATAAAAGGCTTTGACTTTATTTTTTTAAAAAGTTTTTATTGAGATAAATTTACTTTATGTTAAATTCTAAATGTGTAAGTTGAGTGCACTTACTCAAACCTAATCCAATATTTTATGCTCCTTTATCACCGATGTTATTGTGTCCTTTTAAAACAAAATAAATTAATTTATTAATTATTTAAATTTGTTTTGAAATTTAAATCAAAATATTTAAAATAATTCTAACTTTTTAAGTTATCAATAAATAAAAATAAAATAATTTTACGAAATGTTAAATATGAGATTAGTAAGGAATTTGCAGTTACCAAGTGCTGTACCAATAGTAGAAGCTCCATCATGCCCAATTTAATTTGAGCTTTATAATATGTAAATCAAGTTTAATTTATTTATTTAACATATTTTATAAATTAAAAGTATTTTTTAATTCAGTTTGAATAAAATGCTTTGACTTTATTTTTTTAAAAAGTTTTTAATGAAATAAATTTACCCTATGTTAAATACTAAATGTGTAAGTTGAGTGCACTTACTCAAACCTAATCCAATATTTTATGCTCCTTTATCACCGATTTTATTGTACCTTTTCAAACAAAATAAATTAATTTATTAAATATTTAAATTTGTTTTGAAATTTAAATCAAAATATTTAAAATAACTCAAACTTTTTTAGTTATCAATAAATAAATATAAAATAATTTTACGAAACGTTAAATATGAGATTAGTTAGGAATTTGCAGTTACCAAGTGCTGTATCAATAGTAGAAACTCCATCATCCCCAATTTAATTTGAGCTTTATAATATGTAAATCAAGTTTAATTTAATATTTAAGATATAAATTTTTTTTTTAATTATAAATGAAATGAATTTACCCTATGCTAAATACTAAATTTTTAAGTTGAGTGCACTTACTCAAACATAATCCAATATGCTATGCTCCGTCATTTCCAATTTAATTTCCACTTTTAAAATAAAATAAATGGCTTAATTAATTATTGAATTTATTTTAGAATTTAATGAAAAACATAAATTTAATGTTACTTAATAAAAAATTAGAGATTTGCAAGGAATTTACAGTTACTAATAGCACTACCAATAGCTGAAGCTCCATCATTTCCAATTTGATTAAATCTTATATGAATAAAATAATAAATAAATAAAAAACTTTTTAATTAAAATTTTCAATTTCTTTATTTTAAATAATAAAAAAGATATTTACTCCATTCGAATATCTAAATTCTTAAGTTGATTGCATTAAATTAAACCTAACCCAACATTTATAGCTCCTTTATCAGAAATTTTATTTTCCCTTTTAAATTAAAATAAATAAAATAAATAAATTAAATATTTTAAACAAAAATAAAAATTTTATTTAAATTTTTTTAGGTCATCAAAATTGTAAAATTAAATAAAATTACCTAAGACAAAATTTCAAATTAATAAGTAACTCTAAGTTACTTAATGCTGTTCCAAAACAAAATGCTCCTCCTTCACCAATTTTATTATTACTTTTATAATAAAAAATAAAATGTTAATAAATAATTTTATTATCCTTTATTGATTAATTTAAATAATTTTAAAATTACTCAAAATATAAAAAAAAATATTAAAATCTTTTTAAATTTTGAAAAATGAAAAATAAAAATTACGATAGATCAAATTTTAAATTCTCAAGTAATTAACAGCTACCTATTACTGTACAAATAGCTGATGCTCCTTCTTCTCCAATTTAATTGTTACTAATAAAATGTAAAATGATATATTAATAAAAACTATTAACAACATAAAAAATATTTAAGGATTAAAAGAATTAAAAATTAATTTATTTAATAGTAAGCTATTAATTTAAATTTATCCTTAAAAAAATTAGTATGAATTACGAGAGGTTAATATCTAGATCAGTCAACATTTTACAACTACTTAATGTAGTACTTATAGAAAATGCACCTTCTTTTCCAAATAAATTAGCACTTTATTATGTTTTTAAATAATTTAAAATTATGTATTAAATAATATTGAAAAATAATTTTTTAATTTATAAACAATAATCAATCAATAAAGTTTACACTGCATTTAAAGTTAAAGTTGTGAGTTTAGCACAACTACTAATACCTTCTGTAATACTAGACATCCCACTGTCACCTATTTTATTTTTCCTTTCCAAAAAAGATATTTAATAAATGATTTATATGTTTTTTAAACAATAAAATAAATAATTTTTTAAACAATACAATAAATAAATTTGACTAAATGAATATGTTTAATATAATTGAAATAAAATTACAAAAGCTGCAGGTTTAAGTTATTAAGATTTTTGCATCTACGTAATAATTTGCAAATCCAAACTGCACCTCCATCTCCTAATTAATTTCCACTTTTATTATAAAATAAATATGATTGAATATAATTTAGAATAAAAAATAAAAAATTTGAATCAGTTTTAAAAGATGAACTAAAAAATAAATAAATTAACAATTAAATAAATAAATAAATTAAAAATAGTATACTCTAAATTTAGCTATAAACTGTTAAGATTAATTAGATTGCTCATAGTTTCTTCTAATAGAATATTTCCTTAAGCTTCAATTTCTTTTAATCTTTCAGATTAAAAATAAATTATTTAAATACTAATAGTTAGTTAGTTCTATTTTACCTAAGTTTTGGACAATCAGGATTTCTTTTGAAAATTTTTAAGAAAAACAAAATTTGGGAGTATATTTAATCATTGCTATTTTAATAAAAATTAGATTAAACATTTAGCTTTTTATAAATGGTAGAAATGAATGACTAGGATTATCAGACAATGTTATAATTTATTAAACCATTTATTCTTTATATTAAGAGTTATTAGCATAAAAAATATATTTACCTCACATCAGTTTCAACATAGTTCTTTATGAAGGAATATTTAGTAAATAATTAATTTATCTAATCATCTGAAATATTTTCCTTACTACATGTTAGATTGATAGCAAAAAATAATTATGCAATTTAAGATAATAAAGTTAAATGATTACTTAAGATTTAATACTAAAGATTCTAATTTTTAGCATTAAGCTAAACAATTGTTAAGTTAAGCAACTTATTCATTACTAAGAGTGCAATTTCTATTTATTTTTTAATAATAACAAAAGAATTTAATTTATGAATAAATTAATGAATGAAAAATATGAAATTTTATTTATCTTTAATTTTGTAATAAAAAAGAAAAATAATTTTAAAATATTTATTTTTATTAAAAAAAATATTGCTTGTTTTGAAAAATTTATTATTAATTATGAATGAATGAATAAATAAATAAATAAATATTTATATATATTTCTTACCTTAACTTTAAGTCAATATGAGTTTGAGCTTTCAAGTTAGATTTCATTAACTTTTTATTTAAAAAAAAGATTTTATCATAATAAATAAAGTTAATAATAATGATGGATACATCTTATAGAATATTTTAAGTGTTATTCTATGACTTCTTTTTATTTTAGTTGTTTCCCATTTATATTTCTTTAAATATTTATTTATTAATTTTGATCAGAAATTAATAATTTATTTTTTGATTAATTAAAAATATATTGCTTTTCTTTTTTAAATATTCTTATTTAATTTGCCATTCTAAAAAATATACTTTAGATTCTCATATATAAACACCCATAATAACTAACATCCATTTTTGAAAATATTTATCTCATAATATTTAAAGATTACATACCTTCAATCTATGAATTTTAAAAGCTCAAATGAATAAAGAAAGTATTGTACTCTATATATTAAAAAATTATTTAAGCAGGTATTAAATGCACTTATTTGGTGGATGTGCTCGCAAAAAAAAACTAATCTGATTAAAGAATAATTAGAGATATTATAAATATTCCTATAATTAATTCCTGAGCTAAAACAGAAAAATCTGTTTATAAACATTATTTTTATAAAATTTAAGAACATTAATTACTAAAATTTTTGCAAATAATACAAACTGGCCATCTCTAATTCCTACTACATTAATTTTTAATTATAAGTTTTAAATACAAATATTAACATTAAATAATTATTTCTGTGATATCTCTTCATAAAACAAAATTAATAAATTAATATTTGATAATTAATTAATTAATTAATTATGATATTTTATTTGTTCTTTTTATCCATTTATTATTAATTAATTAAATTTCATAAGTTGCTTTTCAGTATTTTTTAAATAAAAAATAAATGATGTAATAGGATAAAAAATATAAAAAACTAGAAGAAGTAAATATTAATTTTTTTATTAATAACCTTTAACTATATATTAATTAATAAAACAAGTTTCTTAGCTCTTCACTTTTATCTCATTAGATTGTTGAAATTGATCTCAAGTATATTTTATTTATAAATTTTATTTTTATTATTATTAATATTTTTTAAATATTTAACTTTCAATTTATTTAAATAAATAATTTTTGTTCTAGAAATTATCATCATTATTCATTCATTCATTGATTTTTATTAAAACAAAAATTTTTTAGCTTTTTTAACTTCATTTCCATTTTAATTTTTAATTATTTATTTATTATTCATTTTTTATTATTTGATATTTTTTCTTCATTTTTTGCTATTAAAACTTATACTTAATAAAAGCAGTTTATTTGTTTTGAGTTGTAATATTTTTAATTATAAAAGTTAATTTAAAATATTAAAGCTCTTTTAATTTATTTGATTTATTTTCCCTTTTCTTTTTATTATGATTTCTTTTTTTTCATTCTTTATTATTTTTATTAATTAATTTTATTATTTCATATTTTTTCTTCATTTTTTCCTTCTAATTAACAAGAGTGAAATGCCTATTTAATTAAAAAAAGGCGAAATGTAATATATCTTAATATCATAATAAAAAAATAAATAAATAAATAAAGCTAAATTAGTTTTAAAAAAGCTTTATTTAGAGTTTTTAGAAAGCTTTTTTAAATTCGCAAAATGTAAAATTTGAAATAATATTTACTGAATTTTCTCATAAAATATCATTTTTTTTGAAAAAAATAAATTTTGAAAAATTTTTTGAGTAAAAACAGTTTATTTGTTTTGGATTGTGATATTTTTAATTATAAAAACTAATTTAAAACAATAAATCTCTTTTTTCTTTTTCTTTTTATTGTGCTTGCTTTTTTTTGTTCTTTCTTTGTAAACTTAATTCATCATTTTATTCTCAAATTTTACTTTTATTATTAATTAATTAATCTAATTATTTCATATTTTTTCTTCATTTTTTCCTTCTAATTAACAATTTAATGATATATTTTTTCTTCAATATTTAAAAAGTACCAATTAAATTGGCGCAATAGGTGCATCAGGCTTAAGTTTTGCTTTAGCAAATTGCATTAATCTCTCGAATTTGATACTTCAACTTGAGTAAAAACAGTTTATTTGTTTTGGATTGTGATATTTTTAATTATATAAACTAATTAAAAACAATAAAGCTCTTTTTTCTTTTTCTTTTTCTTTTTATAGTGCTTACTTTGTAAATTTAATTCATCATTTTATTCTCAACTTTTGCTTTTATTATTAATTAATCTTATTATTTCTTCATTTTTTCCTTCTAATTAACTTTTTAATGATATATTTTTTCTTCAATATTTAAAAAGCTACAATATCATAGGTGATGAAGGTGCATTAGACTTAGGTTCTGGTTTAGCAAAGTGCATTAATCTCTAAAATTTGACACTTCAACTTGAGTAAAAACAGTTTCTTTGTTTTGGATTGTGATATTTTTAATTATAAAAACTTATTAAAAACTATAAAGCTCTTTTTTCTTTTTCTTTTTATTGTGCTTGCTTTTTTTTGTTCTTTATTTGTAAATATAATTCATCATTTTATTCTCAAATTTTGCTTTTATTATTAATTAATTAATCTAATTATTTCATATTTTTTCTTCATTTTTTCCTTCTAATAAACTATTTAATGATACATTTTTTCTTCAATATTTAAAAAGTTCCAATTAAATTGGTGATAAAGGTGCATCAGGCTTAGGTTCTGGTTTAGCTAATTGCATTAATCTCTCAAATTTGACTCTTGACCTTGGGTAAGAACAATTTATTTGTTTTGGATTGTGATATTTTTAATTATAAAAACTAATTAAAAACAATAAAGCTCTTTTTTCTTTTTCTTTTCTTATTATTGTGCTTGCTTTTTTTTTGTTCTTTCTTTGTTAACTTAATTCATCATTTTATTTTCAACTTTTGCTTTTATTATTAATTAATTAATCTTATTATTTCATATTTTTTCTTCATTTTTTCCTTCTAATTAACTATTTAATGATATATTTTTTCTTCAATATTTAAAAAGTTTTAATTAAATTGGTGATGAAGGTGTATCAGGCTTAGGTTCTGGTTTAGCAAAATGCATTAATCTCTCAAATTTGAGACTTTTTCTTTAGTAAAAACAGTTTATTTATTTTGGATTGTGATATTTTTAATTATAAAAACAAATTAAAAACAATAAAGCTCTTTTTTCTTTTTTTTTCCCTTTTATTGTTTTGCTTTTTTTTGTTCTTTTTTTGTAAATTTAACTCATCATTTTATTTTCAACTTTTGCTTTTATTATTAATTAATTAATCTTATTATTTCATATTTTTTCTTCATTTTTTCCTTCTAATTAACTATTTAATGATATATTTTTTCTTCAATATTTAAAAAGATCCAATAAAATTGGTGCAATAGGTGCATTAAACTTAGGTTATGCTTTAGTAAATTGCAAAAATCTCTAAAATTTGACACTTTTTCTTGAGTAAAAACAGTTTATTTATTTTGGATTATGATATTTTAAACTATTAAAATGAAAATAAAAAAAAAAGCTCATTAAATTTACTTGATAGCTTTTGTTTAATTTATTTTATTATCTTTTTTATTCCACTTATGCTATTTTGTTTATTAATTTTAGAAATAATTTTTAATATAAAAGTTTATTCTATTTGATATTTATTTAAAATTTACACAAATTTATCACAAAAGTTTTAAATCAATGAATTAACATTAAAAATTGAAGGTAAGAAACCACTGTCTTAAATCAAAAAGATTAGTTGTCTTAAAAAAAATATTCTGCTGATAAACAAGTGGTTTAAGAAGGATAAAAAAATATTAAATGTTTGAATAATAATATATATTTTGTTATTTAATATTTTGAAAATGTTTTTTTAACCTAAAATATAAATAGATCGATAGATAGATTTTATTATTGATTTTATATTGATAAATATTATTCATATTTATTTTTGTAAGTAAATAAATAAATAATTTATAAAAAATAAAAAATTTAAAAATTAAATTTACTTAAATAAATTAATTCCTCTTAAGCAAATCCTCTGGTTTATCCAAAAACTATCAAATAATTTGAAACTTTTAGTGTTATATTATATCTTATTATATGATATAAATGCCAAGCTTTTATATTCCAGCCAGTTATATTTTAATCAGAAATATTATCTATCAATCATATTTCTTCCTTTTTTTATTTATCGTGATATTAATTAGATACCTTGATTTAAATAAAACCTCACGGAGAAATCAAATTTTACTTTTTATTTAAACTTTTGTGGATAAATATTCACAAAATATGGTGAAAATTTATGTTTGCTGGTGAGAATTAATGAGGATTTACGGTATTTATAAATATTAATTAAAACATTGCTAATAAATAGATAACGATGACTATTTTTTAAAATTTCAAAGTGCTATAATTGATTTAAATGCAAATATGAAGATTAAATAATTAATTTTTCTGTGATATCTCTTCATAAAAGCAAATTTATTAATTAATATTTGATAATTAATTATTATATTTTATTTGTTGTTTTTATCTATTTATAATTAATTAATTAATTTACTAAATTTCATAAATTGCTATTCAATATTTTTGAAATAAAAAATAAATGATATAATAGATTAAAAAATATTATAATTTAGAAGAAGTAATTATTAATTTTTTTATTAAAATCCTATAAATTTATATAAATTAATAAAAAAAGTTTTTAAGCTCTTCACTTTAATCTCATTAGGCTCTCCATATTGATCTGATGTATTTAATTTATAAAATTATAATTATCATTATTTTTAATATATTTCACTTTCAATTTATTTAAAAAATTAATTTTTCTGATAGAAATATTCATCATTATTCTTTTCTTTTTTTAAACTAAATTTTTTAGTATTTTAACTTAATTTTCATTTCAATTTATATTTATTTATTATTTATTATTTGATATTTTTTCTTCATTTTTTGCTATTAACAATTACACTTGATAAAAAAAGTTTATTTGTTTTGGATTGTAATATGTTTAACTTTAAAAATTAATTTAAGATATTAAAGTTCTTTTAATTTATTTTCCTTATTTTTTTTATTGCGCTTACTTTTTTTTCATCCTTTGTTAATTTAACTAAATATTAATTAATCTTATTAAATCTTCATTTTTTTACTTCTAATTAACTATTTAATGATATATTTTTTCTTCAATATTTAAAAAGAAACAGAAACATTAATGATGAATGTTCATTAAGCTTAGGTTCTGGTTTAGCAAAGTGCATTAATCTCTCAAATTTGAAACTTTAACTTCAGTAAAATCAGTTTAATTGTTTTGGATTGTTATATTTATTATTATAAAAGTTAATTTAAAACAATAAAGCTCTTTTTTCTTTTTCTTTTTATTGTGCTTGCTTTTTTTCATCCTTTTTAAATTTAACTAATTATTAATTAATATTATTTCATTTTTTCCTTCTAATTAACTATTTAATTTACTATTTTTTCTTTAATATTTAAAAAGCTACAATCTAATTGGTGATGAAGGTGCATTAGGCTTAGGTTTTGGTTTAGCAAAGTGCACTAATCTCTCAAATTTGAAACTTTTGCTTCGGTAAAAGCAGTTTATTTGTTTTGGATTGTTATATATTTAATTATAAAAACTAATTTAAAACAATAAAGCTCTTTTTTCTTTTTCTTTTTATCGAGCTTGTTCATCCTTAGAGAGTTTAACAATTTTTCTTCATTTTTTCCTTCTAATTAACTATTTAATTATATATTTTTTCTTCAATATTTAAAAAGTGAAAATGAAATTGGCGATGAAGGTACTTCAGGCTTAGGTTCTGCTTTAGAAAAGTGCATTAATCTCTCAAATTTGAAAATTAACCTTTGGTAAAAACAATTTATTGGTTTTGGATTATTATATTATTTTTAATTAAAAAAATTAATTTAAAACAATAATCTTTTTTTCTTTTTTTTTTATTGTGCTTGCTTTCTCATTGTTAATTTAACTAATTATTAATTAATCTTACTATTTCATATTTTTTCTTCATTTTTTCCTTCTAATTAACTATTTAATTATATATTTTTTCTTCAATATTTAAAAAGTATTAATTAAATTGGTGATGAAGGTGCATCAGGCTTAGGTTCTGGTTTAGCAAATTGCATTAATCTCTCTAATTTGACACTTTATCTTAGGTAAAAACAGTTTATTTATTTTGGATTGTGATATTTTTAATTATAAAAACTAATTAAAAACAATAAATCACTTTTTTTTCTTCTTTTTATTGTTAATGCTTTTTTTTTGTTCTTTCTTTATTAATTTAACTCACCATTTTATTTTCAACTTTTTTTTATTATTATTAATCTTATTTTTCTTCATTTTTTCCTTCTTATTTTTTATTTAATGATATATTTTTTCTTTAATATTTAAAAAGCCACAATTAAATTGGTGATGAAGGTGCATCAGGCTTAGGTTCTGGTTTAGCAAAGTGCATTAATCTCTCAAATTTAAGAATTATTCTTCAGTAAAAACAGTTTATTTGTTTTTGATTGTGATATTTTTAATTATAAAAACTAATTTAAAATCATTATTTTATTTTCTTCTTTTGCATTTATTATTAATTAATCTTATTTTTCTTCATTTTTTTCTTCTAATTAACTGTTTAATGATAAATTTTTTCTTTAATATTTAAAAAGCCACAATTAAATTGGTGATGAAGGTGCATCAGGCTTAGGTTCTGGTTTAGCAAATTGCATTAATCTCTCAAATTTGACACTTTTGCTTGGGTAAAAACAGTTTATTTGTTTGGATTGTGATATTTTTAATTATAAAAACTAATTTAAAACAAAAAAGCTCTTTTTATTTTTATTTTAATTTTTTTTTTCTTTCTTTGTTAATTTAACTCATCTTTTTTTTCCAACTTTTGCATTTATTATTAATTAATCTTACTTTTTTTCATTTTTTTCTTCTAATTAACTATTTAATGATATATTTTTTCTTTAATATTTAAAAAGTAAAAATTAAATTGGTGATGAGGGTGCATCAGGCTTAGGTACTGCTTTAGCAAATTGCATTAATCTCTCAATTTTGAAACTTATTCTTGAGTAAAAATAGTTTATTTGTTTAGGATTATTATATTTTTAAATATAAAACTTTTTTAAAACAATAAATCTTTTTTTTCTTTTTATTTTTATTGTGCTTGTTTTCTCTTCTTCTTTATTTATTAGTTTAAATCATCATTAAATTTTCAATTTTTCTTTTATTATTAATTAATATTATTTTTTCTTCATTTTTTCCTTCTAATTTACTATTTAATTATTTATTTTTTCTTCAATATTTAAAAAGTAAAAATCCAATTGGTGATAAAGGTACATTAGGCTTAGGTTCTGCTTTAGCAAATTGCATTAATCTCTCTAATTTAACACTTGTCCTTTTGTAAAAGCAGTTTATTTGTTTTAGTTTGTGATATTTTTATTTGTAAAAGCTAATTTAAAACAATAAAGCTTTTTTTTCTTTTTATTTTTATAGTTCTTGATTTTTTGTTTTTTCTTTGCTAATTTAACTCGCCATTTTATTTTCAACTTTTGCTATTATTATTAATTAATCTTATTTTTTCTTTCTAATTAACTATTTAATGATATATTTTTTCTTCAATATTTAAAAAGTAGAAATTAAATTGGTGATGAAGGTGCATCAGGCTTAGGTTCTGCTTTAGCAAATTGCATTAATCTCTCAATTTTGATACTTGGCCTTAAGTAAAAACAGTTTATTTATTTTAGATTGTGATATCTTTAATTATAAAAACTAATTTAAAACAATAAAGCTCTTTTTTTTTGCTTGCTTTTTTTATTTTTTTCTTTGTTAATTTAATTCACCATTTTATTTTCAACTTTTGCTTTTATTATATCTTCATTTTTTCCTTCTAATTAACTATTTAATAAAATATTTTTTTCTTCATTTTTTCCTTCTAAATAACTATTTAATGATATATTTTTTCTTCAATATTTAAAAAGTTAAAATTAAATTGGTGATAAAGGTACATCATGCTTAGGTTCTTCTTTAGCAAATTGCATTAATCTCTCAAATTTGACACTTTTTCTTAGGTAAAAATAGTTTATTTATTTTGGATTGTGATGTTTTTAATCATAAAAATTTATTTATAACTATAAAGATGATTTTTCATTTTCTTTTTATTGTGCTAGCTTTCATTGTTAATTTAACTCATTATTTTATTTTCAACTTTTGTTTTTATTATTAATTAATCTTATTTTTCTTCATTTTTACTTCTAATAACTATTAAATTATATATTTTTTCTTCAATATTTAAAAGTGAAAATTAAATTGGTGATGAAATTGCATCAAGCTTAGGTCCTGTTTTAGCAAATTGTATTAATCTCTCTAATTTAACACTTGACCTTAGGTAAAAACAATTTATTTATTTTTGATTGTGATATTTTTAATTATAAAAATTAACTAAAAACAATAAAGCTCTTTTTTTTTTTCTTATTTTTTTATTGTGCTTGCTTTTTTTTATTCTTTCTTTCTTAATTTAACTCATCGTTTTATTTTCTCTTTTGCATTTATTATTAATTAATCTTATTTTTCTTCTAATTAGCTATTTAATAATATATTTTTTCTTTAATATTTAAAAAGTTAAAATTAAATTGGTGATGAGGGTGCATCAGGCTTAGGTACTGCTTTAGCAAATTGTATTAATCTCTCAAATTTGGCACTTTGTCTTTAGTAAAAATAGTTTATACTTTATGGATTGATACTTTTAATTTTAAAAATTAATTTAAAATAATACAGCTCTTTTTTCTTATTCTTTTATTTTTTGTTAATTAGACTCATCATTTCATTTTCATTTTTAACTTTTACTTTTATAATTAATTATTCTTATTATTTCATATTTTTCCTTCATTTTTTCCTTCTAATTAACTATTTAATAATAATATTTTTTCTTCAATATTTAAAAAGTGGAAATTAAATTGGTGAAGAAGGTGCATCAAACTTAGGTTCTGCTATAAAAAATTGGATTAATCTCTCAAATTTAACACTTGATCTTAAGTAAAAATAGTTTATTTGTTTTAGATTGTTATATTTTTAATTATAAAAACGAATATAAAACAAAAAAGCTCTTTGAATTTATTTGATATGTTTTATTTGATTTATTTATTTTATCTTTTTTACTTTACAAATATTATTTTTATTTATTAATTTAAGAAATAATTTTTAATTTAAAAGTTAATTTTATTTAATATTTATTTAAAATTTATTATAAAAGTGATAACCCATTGAATAAATCATAAGCATTAAAAGTAAACCTCAAGTGTCTTAAATCAAAAAGGCTAGTTGTCTTTTCAGAATAATTCAATTATTGATAAACAAACGGCGAAAAAAGGATGAATAAATATTATATAAATGTTTGAATAATTGAATATCAATTATATGTTTTATTATATAATATTTTGAAAAAGCATTTTTAACCTAAGATATAGATAAATATAGAGATAGATAGTTAAATAGACTTTGTTATTGTTTTTATATTTATAGATATCATATTTATTTTTATTAGTTAATCAATAAATAAATAAATAGCTTATAAAAATAAAAATATTTTAAAATTAAATTTACTTAAATAAATTTATTAATTAAATTTATAACCCTGTTTATGAATTTAAGTGAGACACTATTATTAAATTATTATTTATTCTTATTTTAATTGTTTTGTTTGATAATTTTGTTAAATATAAAAAAATATTATTTTTTTCTCAACGAAGAATTATTGTTTATTTATTTATTATAACAAATTATTTCTACAAAAAAATTTAATTATTTTTATTTATTAATAAAAAACATTTTTTACTCAATATTTATTTGCATTACTCACTAAAAATTACAAATTTATTTTTTTTAATGACATCAAACGGTTTTTATAAAATGAATAGTTATAATGCTCTTGCTAGAAATTGATATTGAATAAAAAAGTACTAGATATTTAAAAATGGCATTTGGATGATTTTAAAATTGATAGCAGCAACGATTACAAGTTTTTAAATTCCTTTGATTACATTATTTTGATCAAATTAATTTGTGATGAAATTCGAGCAAATTTGCATTTACAAAATAAAGCAATTGAAATTAATTTTTATTAGAAATTTTAATTGCTAAGAATTAAATTAATAGTTCAATTACCTATCGATTTTTTCATAAAAAATAAGCTTTAAATGCTCAAATCTAAAAGAAATTATTCACATATTCATCCTTTCCTTTCTAATATTATTTAAGATTAGAACTTTTATAAATTTCCTTCCTTATAAAGATCTTTCTTCTCAAATATAAACTATATTTTAATATAAAAAACTATTTATAAGTTATTTCATTGTATAATTTATTAAATTCTAATTAATTTATTTCAACATATTTTCTTCTTCATTAAAATTATTTTTATTAAATTTTATTTAAAAAATAAGCTGTTTTAGAGATTATCGCATTTTTCGTTTAAAGCTTTTCTAATCTTCCAGAAAATTATAAATTTAATATGAAGAATAATTATCACTTTTATCTATTTTATTAAAAAATATTAAAAATGTAATTATGATTAGATTAATTTAATAAAATTATTATATTTTAATTTTTGAAAAAACAAACAAGCCTATTTTTTGATATTCTAAAAAGTACATTTTTTATTTCAAAAGTCTATTTAATAAAAAGTGAAATTACAAACGAATAATTTTTTAAGGATATAAGAATTAATTAATTAATCAATCAATCTTTAATTCATCAAAATTAATCTTCAAAAATTAGATCGAATTTCATTTATAATGCATTATTTTGTATGGCAACTAGAGTGTATTAAATGATTATTACAAATTAAGTTTAATCGAACTACGAAATCTAATCAAATAATTAATTAGATTGAAGTTAAAAGATAAGCCTCTATTTGAATTAATTAACTTTATTAATAATATTTTATATCGTCAAAAATAATTTAATAGAATCTAATCTAATTCACTTTTTTTCTTTTTCGGAAGCCATTTATTTATTCGAAATTCCACAGTGGAAGAATTTTATGAATTTTGTTTTGTGAAAATATTTTTTTTAAAATATCTTAATAAAAAATATTGGCAAGATATTTTAGTATTTGAGCTAGTTTACTAAATTGTAATTATAAATAAAGGTTTAATACTTGAAAATGTTATTTAGTAACTTCAAACTATTTAATTCTGAATTTAATAATGATATGCATACTTGTTGCATTATTTCAATTTTTATATTATTTATTTGAATTAGCTGAATATATTCATTAAATAAATTAAACGAAATAAGTTTAATTAACAAATTGAGATAGCTCATTCATTAAAAAAGGTAAAAATAAATTAAAATGGAATCACAAAATTAATTTACCAAAGATGTTTGCCTTTCTAACTCTAACTCTATGTTTATTTCATCATAATAAGATAAAATATTATTAGATTTAGAAGAATATTTAATAGATGATAAATTTAAACAATTTAGTTCTTAAAACTTACGGTTATTACCTCAATCCAGCATACCTGATATTCAGTAGGCACAATAAATCCAAGAAAGAGGCAATTATTGTGATAATGAAAAGTAAAATATGAATTTACCAACCTTAAAAAAGACCTAAAAAATATATAGAATGGCAGGAAGCAAGCATTTTTGTAATATAAAAAACACTACTGAAATGGGTTTTAGAGTCTGCTAAGGCTTACTGATTTCTAATGAAGGAATAATAAGGACTGATTATAATAATGTTTAATTAAGCTTTGGATACCTATATAATGCATCTATTGTAAATTACCTAAAGCTATGTAAAGTAGTAGAAGTTTAATATGAGTCCATACAACCAAATTTTGATGTTTAGTTATAAAATGCTTGCAATTATTTACTCTAAACACCTTGTTAACATATTTAAGAATCAATTAATGTTATATAGAATGTATATCAAAAGAAAATGAATTACAGGATCGTTTTATAATAGCTTAAATTGACATAAGAACTGCTTTCATTGATTAATGATCAACTAAATTAATTTCTTGAGCGCTGTGATAATTATATCAAGTAATATGCTTAGCAAAATGAAGGAACAGTTTTTTAATATTTTATTAGAAAAGTAAATATAATCACAAAAACAGAAGAAATAATAAGAGCTGGCTACTCAAAAAGTTTTTTAGATATAATAGGTGCAACAGTTGAATAATTTCGATCAATTATTTTAAGAAATGATGCTATAGATTTAATGTAAGAATCAAAAGAAATACTTAAGGAATCTCTGAATGGATTAATTGGTTATTTTTCTAATGATTCTGTTTATTAAAACTAAAGTAAATTAATTACCCTTGATGGGTTTAACTTGTAGTTTAATTATTCTATGGAACATATAAATTTAAATGAAGAGTCGTATATGAATTCATAAATACCTTTCAAATAAACATTAGTAATAGCTAAAATTACCTTTTGCCATGAAGAAATTCAAAAACTCATAAATTATCGAAAAATAAATTTTATTTAGTAAAGAAGCCAATAAAATAAACAGTTTATTTAATTTGATATATCTTAATTATCATCAATTTCAACCTATTCAATCGAATCTTAGAAATTTATAGAAAAATATTATGATTAAAAGTGAGAAAAGTAACGACTATTATTTAATATTTTCTGTTGAAATAATAATAATAATAATAATAAAATTAAAATTAATTGATCAAAATTAATGGCATCCTTATTCTCCAACAAGAACTAAAAATAATCCATTATTTCCATTCTGATATTTAAAATTTGAGATTTAAAAAAATACAAATATTAAGATAGCAAATAAGCTAACTAATAATTGCTTAAATAATCGAACAAAAAAGCATGGAAATAAGAATTAATGAAATGTTTTATTTTTTAATAGACATAAAATTTTGTGTTACTAAGTATAAAGAGCCTTTTGCAATATAAAAAAATAATCATCTTTATTTATTAAACATATTTAAATAATATTTACAAATAAAGGAAATTTTGTTTTTTACATACATACATAAATAATTATAGTTAAATGGGAAAGGCTATACAAATGAATATTTATTTACTTAAAAGAAATTTAGACAAATTTTTAGTTAGAGAACATTTTTTTATATAAAATAAGATCAGCATTTTAAAATTTATAATTCCACATTAATAAAAAATTATAAAAATTCTTGATATGAAATAAGCTTTTTAAAGCCAAATTCAACATTAACAACTTTTAAATTGATTAATTTACTCTAAATATTATTGAATAAAAAAATTAAATTTGTATTATCTGAATGAATAAATGATAATTTAATAAACAATTATTTTATGATTTTTAAAAATATAAAAATGATAAAAATGATAATAAGATAAGTTAAAAATTTGAGAAAAAAAAAACAAAAATAAACATTATAAACAAAAAAGTTAAAATAAAAAGTAAAACTTGATTTCTCCCTGAGGTTTTATTTAAATCCTGACATCTAATTAATCAAGATAAATAAAAAAGGATAAAAAATATGATTGAAACATAATATTTAAGATTAAAATATAACTGGCATATAAAGTTTGGTATTTATATAATTTAATAAGATGTAAAAAAACACTAAAAGTTTCAAATTGTTTGATCGTTTTTGGAGAAACCAGAGAGTTTGCTTAAGAGCATTTATTTTTTATAAATAATTTATTTACTTACAAAAATATGAATGATCTTTATAAATATAAAATCAATAATAAAATCTATTTATATTTATATTTTAGGTTTAAATTTTTTTCAAAATATTATATAATAAAATATATAATATTATTCAAACATTTTATATTTATTCATCCTTTTTTCACCAGTTGTTTATCATTTGAAATCAAAGACAACTAATCTTTTTGATTTACGACACTTTCTTATTTTTTTGAATAATTAATATTTATCCATTGAGTTAGAACTTTTATAATAAATTTGTGTAAATTATTAATAAATATCAAAATAGAATAAACTTTTAAATTAAAAATTATTCTTTAAATTAATAAATAAAATAATATTAGTTGAATAAAAAAGATAAAAAAATTAAATAAATAAAACTATCAAATAAATTCAAAGAGCTTTTTTGTTTTATATTCATTTTTTTTGTTTAAAATATCACAATCCAAAACAAATAAACTGTTTTTACCCAATGTAAAGTGTCAAATTTGAGAGATTAATGCAATTTGCTAAAGCAGAACCTAAGCCTGATGCACCCATTGCACCAATTAAAAATCCACTTTTTATATATTGAAGAAAAAATATATGATTAAATAGTTAATTAGAAGGAAAAAATGAAGAAATAATATGAAATAATAAGATTAATTAATTGATAATAAAGGCAAAATTTGAAAATAAAATGATGAGCTAAATTAACAAAGAAAGAAAGAACAAAAAAGCAAGCACAATAAAAAGAAAAAGAAAAAAGAGCTTTGTTGTTTTTAATTAGTTTTTATAATTAAAAATATCACAATCCAAAACAAATCAACTGTTTTTACAGAAGGTCAAGTGTCAAATTTGAGAGATTAATACAATTTGCTAAAGCAGAACCTAAGCCTGATACACCTTCTTCACCAATTTAATTTTAACTTTTTAAATATTGAAGAAAAAATATATCATTAAATATTTAATTAGAAGGAAAAAATGAAGAAAAAATTTGAAATAATAAGATTAATTAATTGATAATAAAGGCAAAATTTGAAAATAAAATGATGAGCTAAATTTACAAAGAAAAAAAGAACAAAAAAAAGCAAATACAATAAAAAGAAAAAGAAAAAAGAGCTTTGTTGTTTTAAATTAGTTTTTATAATTAAAAATATCACAATCCAAAACAAATAAACTGTTTTTACTCGAGGTTAAGTGTCAAATTTGAGAGATTAATGTAATTTACAAAAGCAGAACTTAAGCTTTATGCACCTTCATCACCAATTTAATTTTCACTTTTTAAATATTGAAAAAAAAATATATCATTAAATAGTTAATTAGAAGGAAAAAATGAAGAAAAAATATGAAATAATAAGATTAATTAATTTATAATAAAGGCAAAATTTGAAAATAAAGTGATGGGCTAAATTAACAAAGAAAGAAAGAACAAAAAAAGCAAACAGAATAAAAAGAAAAAGAAAATAGAGCTTTGTTGTTTTAAATTAGTTTTTATAATTAAAAATATCACAATCCAAAACAAATAAACTGTTTTTACCGAAGGTCAAGTGTCAAATTTGAGAGATTAATGCAATTTGCTAAAGCAGAACTTAAGCTTTATGCACCTTCATCACCAATTTAATTGTTACTTTTTAAATATTGAAAAAAAAATATATCATTAAATAGTTAATTAGAAGGAAAAAATGAAGAAAAAACATGAAATAATAAGATTAATTAATTAATAATAAAAGCAAAATTTGAAAATAAAATGATGAGCTAATTTAACAAAGAAAGAACAAAAAAAGCAAACACAATAAAAAGAAAAAGAAAATAGAGCTTTGTTGTTTTAAATTAGTTTTTATAATTAAAAATATCACAATCCAAAACAAATAAACTGTTTTTACCGAAGGTCAAGTGTCAAATTTGAGAGATTAATGCAATTTGCTAAAGCAGAACCTAAGCTTGATGCACCTTCATCACCAAATTAATTTCTACTTTTTAAATATTGAAGAAAAAATATATCATTAAATAGTTAATTAGAATGAAAAAATGAAGAAAAAACATGAAATAATAAGATTAATTAATTAATAATAAAAGCAAAATTTGAAAATAAAATGATGAGCTAAATTAACGAAAGAAAGAACAAAAAAAGCAAACACAATAAAAAGAAAAAGAAAAAAGAGCTTTATTGTTTTTAATTAGTTTTTATAATTAAAAACATCACAATCCAAAATTATGTACCAGTTTTTCATTTTATAAAATTAAAATTTTTATTATTTTTTATGAAATTTTTTCTATCCTTATATTTTTAAAAATTTATT